GCGGGACAGGGTGGAGAGGAGAGGGCCCCAGAGAGAGGAGAGGACTGTAAACACCAGCAGCTGAGAACGAAGATGCTGCACCCACAGCCCTTGTATCTCTTGATGTTACCGAGAAGAGGGGTCGATAACCACCCGGACAATGCCCCAGGTGCACCGGGAGCTCAGCAGACACCCCCTGAGCTCCCTCCACCCAGCCCACGGGAGCGCGTACAAATCTCTCGCACACCCCGAATCACTCGGGCAGCTGCCTGCCCCTCTCTGCTCCTCCCCAGGCTTTGCACCTGGGGAGGGCTGGCAGGGAAGCAAGACAACTGCTTCTCACACCCACCTTGTCATTGAGAAAGCCAATCTTGAGGATGTTCTCCACACTGGGAACGCCGTCTGCCATCGTCAGGTCACCCATGGAGTCCCCCAGCAAGATGATGCTCGTCCTAGTGCTCAGCTGCTGGAAATACTCTGTATCCTGCAGGACGCTGTTGTTCTTGTTGTAGGTGTGGATGAGAGGTCCCTTGAAACGCGTGAGGACTCCCTGTGCAAACAGGACAGACAAATTGATCCTGCAGCAATCCCTCTGCTGTGCCGCAGTCTCAGTACCCTTCCTCGAACAGGCAAACGGGGGGATGCTCACAGGTCACCAGCTCCCATCTCAAAGACATCCCCAAGGCGTCTGGAATCCCAGCAGCCATGAACACCTGGAGACAGTCCCCAGGAGTCCCCTTTTGCAGGGCAAGGCCTTCCCAGATGGTGAGAACAAACCCAAAGGATGGAGATCCTGGAGACCTTGGTCGGGGCTCTGCGCTGCCCTGGAGCTGCTCAGGGGCCACGGAAAGCCGCAGTCGAGGAGCCCCAGGGCAGAGCAGGGCCCTTGCAGAAGGCAGGACTGTCACGCTGTCCCGTGCTCCCCCGAGGACTATTTGTCCCAACACGCCACCCGTGGGAACAGAGGGCTTCATTGTAAGAGACGTGCAGATGTTCAGAGGGCTGCTATGGTGGGAGCAGTCACAATCCCTGACGGCAGACCGAGTGGGGCGGGAGGCCAGGACCAGCCCGTAGGGCTTTCCCGTGACCCTGCAAAGGGTCAGCTCCATTTACAGGGATCAAATACTTAAAAATGTTAACAGGCAGCTTTTAACCTAGTGGTGCCTCTGTTAAAACGTATCGCAGCCCTCAATTCCAGTTGAACAACTCTCCTCTCCGCAAGCTCACCATGTGTACGTGACACAGAAACTCACATCATCATCAAAGTCCATGTAGTTGGACACCACGTTGACGTTTGAGTGGAAGACGTTGGCCTGACGGATAATCTCTTCAAGGACATCACCGACGCCAGCAGAGAAGATGAACAGGGGGACGTTGTACTTATGCAGCTGATCAAATAACTCACTGAATCCATCCCTAGAGCAGAAGTGTCCATTGCACAGTACTGTATTAGCACTCCCAGCTCGCAGCGAGATGCCCGGCGCCCCGTGGGCTGGGAGCGCCCTCAGCCCAGCTGCGAGGCCGTATTTCTGCCCAGGACTTCCCAAACAAAAATGCACGTATGAGCTCTGCAAAAAAGCATGAGCTTTCCGTGGCACCAGCATTTCGGTGGCGTTCACTGCGCGTGCAAGGGGTGTGCAGCGGAACCCCAGAGCCCTCCTGGGAGCAGCGACCTAGCGGGGAGTGATTTGCCCAGCACCTCCCGACGGCACCCAGCTCCTCACCGGGGGCACACGGCACAGCGTGCCTGCACAGGCCCACGAGAGTGGGTGCTGCCAGCCCACTCGGAAACCGAACGTTAGAGATGCACAACAGGTCGGGCTGGTTGTGAGGACAATCAGACAAACGTGCAACAGCCCGAGTCTGCCAGGACACGATTTCCGTGCAGAAGGGGAACTTGGGCTCATGAAAACCCGGCCGTTCGGTACCGTCTCCTCTTCGAGACTGGCAACTCATTCAAACCACAGCTCCCTGAGCCAGTTTTAGGGCCATCGCTGCCAAGGCCAGCTTTAACAGCAAGTTTTAGCGCAACATGTTTGTGCTGTGGGTGAAATCTGATGTTGAGCCAAGGGCCTGGATAGGCCCAGCAGCTACAACGCGTGGAGAGAAAAATCTCCCCTGGAAGAGGGGAGCTGCACGCTGTCCCCGCAGCCCACCCTGCAAACAGGGAGCTCTGCCCATCACCCATCCCCTCGGCTGCTCCTCGCCAAGACTCAAGGGAGGCGAAAGCCATTTCTGATCAGGAAGGGGTCAGCCGTGAACAGAGCAGCCTGCAGCCAGGGAGTAACTCAGGCTGCCGCTCCTGGCACAGAGTTTCGGCTCTTTCGTGATCAGAGCTCGGTCCCAGGAAGGGAGATTTGCATCTGCCATGCTATGGAGACGGCGCGTAGATCAGGGTGAAAGCAAGGAGACCCGCTCGCACAGTGGCAGGAGAGAAAGGGCCGCGGGCAGCCGAACCCCGAGCCCGTACCTCAGCATCACGTCCGATTCTCTGACGATCTGGGCTATGTCACCCTTCTGGATCTTCTGCTGCGACAGCAGCTCATGGGCCCTGGTCCACCTAGGGAAAGGCAGCAGAGTGAGCTTCCTGGGCGGCAGCCTCAAGGCAGTCGGAGAAATAACAACCAAAACTTCCCGGTACTGCCACCAAGCCTAGAGACAGTTCAGGCCTTCTGTCTCGTAGTCCTCAGAGGCTAGAAGTTGCCAGGACAAGGTCAAGTTCATCGCATACAAGCACTCACCACTCCACCATGAGGGGACGTTTCTCTTCCAGGGTCCGGTTGGGATCGATTTCAATGGGATAGTAATAGTGCAGCAGATCTTTCAGCTGGAACGTTGTACAGATGGAAAAAGAACAGAGTGAACACCACTTCTAAAGAGACTGTAAAAAATAAAAAAAAAAAGGCATTTCTAAATTCCTCTAAAGCATCACACTTCCTAATGAAAAACACAGCCAAACCCATTTCACTAAGCAACCTCACTCTGAGCAAATGTGGAGATCTCGGAAGCAAGCATTAACCCTCCGGCAGCCTGGCTGACTCTCACCTTGCTTCAAACCCTGCACGTACAGATGCACACACATTCATCCTTTGTCCTTTTATCAGGCCCAAAATGCCAAAACTACATTTCCCTTCGATCACCGCTGGCTGAAATGCAGCCTGGGCGCTGGCCCCGCTCTCTGTGCCGGCAGCAAGGCGCAGCTTGGAGAGCTCTGACGCGAGCCAGTGCAGCCTCCTGATGATGGGTGACAGGGACGAAAAACACAGAGCCAAGAAGCAGTGCCTTAAAAACCAGCACCTACCTTCTTCTTGCAGTCCTCACTGATAACACGACTGTTATCGAGGATATCTGTAAAGACAACGAAATGCCAACGTTGTAGCCCAGAAACATAAAAAAGCTTTCTAAAAGGCAACTATCCTGCGTCTCCAGCACCAGCTCTTCCCGAACACACGCGGTGTGTGGCACATCGACCCCAGCACAGGATCGCTGCGGGGTCTCAACACAGCGGCTCCCACTGCGAACCTGCAGCACGCGCTGACCGTAGGGCATCGCTCAGCTGGCAGAGAGCAGCGCCAGTGCTAGCAAGCTGCAGGAGGCAAGGGTTAGAAGGACAAGCAGCAAGACCAGGGGATGGCTTCTGCAGCGGGCTGTGGGCTGCCCGGGGGCCAGCAGCCGCTGCTGCAAGAGGCTGAGGCCCAGAGCTGCACTGAGAGAGAACAAGACGGAGCAGTCGGGTTCAGCAAAGGAGGGAGGCAGAGGAAAACCGGAGCCACAAACGAGAACACAAACACGGAAAACAAACAGAATTACCAGCAGTAAAAACAACGGCTTCAACTCACTGTGCGAAGTGGGGCAGCGTCTGCCGTTGCACCCAAACCTGCTCAGCGTCATGTCGAAGTCAGAAATGACCTGGAAGGCGAGAGGAGAGCAAACCCGGGTGTGACCCAGCACGCTCGTCCTTGGCCATAGCCAGCCAAGGGCGCTGCCGCCTGCGAGGATGCAACTCCGGCGCTGGCACCTCTCACGTGGGGGTGCAGACTCGCAGCGGGGCACGGCAGCAATGAACCTTGACGCTCCTGACCGCTGTGAAGCAGAAGTCCTCATCTGAGACAGCCAGCACCCCTCCCACCCCAGCACTCTTATCAGCACCAAATGGCTTAATCCTGCTGACTTACTGCCGTGGGTGGAGGGGGGGGTGTTTGGGGATTGGCCCATATTTATAGCTTGCATAACAGGGAAGAAAAAGGCCCATCCAGGGAGAGCCACCAGCCCCG